GCTGTTACGTCAACTTAGCCTGCGAGACCATGATGCCAGTAGTTAGGATCATGCCGAACAACTCCGGAGCAAGCAGTAGGCAAAGTCATCTTCTGGCTACGGAGGTTTAACCTGAACCTGAACCTCACCGCTGGAAACCAAGCGGAGATTGATGGACCCACAGGCATATACTGTATCTCACGACCTCGATTAAGATAAAACATCAGTCGACGTATCAACAAGCACTAGTTTTTGATTGTTTAAATTTTGATGCCAGACAGATCTATGAAGACTTGAGAAACGGAAAAGGATGAAAATACTATGACATGATTATATTAAGGAACGGACCCACCTGTCCATTTTAATCCCCAGTACACTCCTACGTTTCAATCACGGAATTGCATTTTCTTATACTTGAAGTTTCGGAAACCCCGTCCCAAGATAAATACATAACTTTTTTAATAAGTCGAACATTGCAACTTCGAAAATAATGCATTTCGAAATGACGTACGCCTTTCACTATTCAACTACATAACCTAAATCATCTACAATTTATCAAACTATCAACTATATAATGAAACCATCATCGTGGAGTCATCTGCAGCCAGAATCCGCCTTCTGGTTCCATGGAATAAGAAGTCTTGGACAAACGTAACGGCTGAACCATCCGGGTGCCCAATGCGAGCTTAAAGTTTTTGACCAAGTCCACAAGTGTTATCTTTATAGCCAGTGAAACCAATCGCATGCCTAAAATTAGAAATTTCCATTAGACTCCACGTCACACCTCCAACGGTCACCATAAACATCCTCACCAATACAGTTCCTTGGCCCTGCTCCGTAGGGCATGTAAGTGTACGGTGTAATATTCCCCTTATTGGCCACACTGAACCGTTCCGGATCGAACAACTCCGGGTCCGGGAAGTAGTTTTCATCGCGATGCAGCGCCCAGATTGAAACCCACAGAGTGTCGCCTTTTTTAAATTGTACTCTCAACCCTTCATCATCCAGCAGGAAGTCCTGCGAGCACTCTCTATCGGACGATGGGACAGCCGGCCACTTCCGGAGCGTTTCGCTGACCACCATCTCCAGGTACGGCAGTTTCACCACAGTATGATAGACGACGGGACTATCTTCGAGTGAGTTTTCAATTTCCTCCAGCAACTTCTGCTGGACTTCCGGGTTTGCGGCCAGCTCATAAGCAGCGAATGAAAATAGATTCACCAAGCCTTCAAAGCCGGTTCCGAAAAATGCAACGCATTGCGCTACCAGTTCCTCCTCGTCCCATTTGCGCTTGGAGAAATCCTTCATCTGCAGAAACTCGTCCACTTCGTCTTCGGCTTTCAGTTCTCCCTTGTTGGCTTGATGCAACATTTGAATCATATCCGGACGACTCAGGTTCTTCTTTACCCTATCGCTCATGGTGGATTGGACCAGATCCATGAAATAGGTGGCATGCTCCTCTTCCATCAAACGAACCTTCATCCGGGTCATCAGCTTCGGGAAAAGATAGAAAAATATGGTCTTCATAGTTTGAACGGGATTGGTTCCAGTCACCAGAGCACTTCCGTATGTGCAAAATTTATCCGATTCGTCTTTGAAGGTGTTCAGTTCCAACCCGAAGGCACAGCTGGCAATCACATTGAATGTATACTTCTGGAAGACACCCTTGAATTCCAGCTCTGAATCGACGGAAGCCTTCAGATAGTCGACCAGATCCAGCGAATTGGTTCGAATCAGCGAGCTCATCAAAGCAACACTCTGACCGGCAAAAACCGGCCTCAAAGTGTGTCTCATCTGTCGCCACTTTTCATCCTTCATCAGGTGCAGCTGATTACCCAGAATGGGGTCCTTGCTTTCATCGAGAAAGTACGCATGATTTGAGAACGAATCAAACTCGTGAACCCACAACTTGCGTACCAGCTCCGGATCGCGAATGTAGTACACCGGGGTGAGATAGTTGAAGAAACCGAAGACCCTTAAAGAAAATGTCGTCCCAATGTCAAATGATACCATCAGCAAATTGCATTAAAACTCACCTTTCATTTTTAAACTTCTGATAGAAATCTGCGATCAGTTCCAGCGAGGACAGCTTTCCGCTGTTTACTTCTAGCAGGTTGCCATAGATGAAGTGCGGCTTCTCGTAGGCAACTCCCCTGGCTTTAAAGAAGCTCCTGTATCGTGTGAGCAATTTGAACGTATAATATCCCACCACGGTTACCAGCGTAAACGAGACCCAGTACAAATCTTCCGTGTCCATGTTTGCCGGGATTTTCTACATCGAAACTCTTCGGAGCAAAACTGTGAAAAACTTCCACTTCCAAACACCGCAAAAGCAATCACGCGAGCAGCTGACGACACCCGTACTTTGTAAACACACACGAGGTATTTGCGTGGTATGAATGAGTAAAAATGACATCCAACAGAAGTGATAAAAGCAAACTGTATGCCTACCCAGGAGAGGCAAACTTCGCCTGATGATGGTTGAAAACTCTCTCTATCGACTTCTTCTTAGGAATGCATCGCGTCCAGCAGTTATATCCGATCCGATGTACCCCAGCGAGTGACCGGATCATTGCGAACGAAAGCGACCACGTGGTTTGGCAGCATAATGATGTGAGTTTGCTGCATTTCTCTCGGTGTTGGGCAGCTTTGGTCGTCGCTAGGCAACACAGAGAGATAATAGAGCTGGATCACATGACACTAGGTTGCCGCCGCCGGTTAGTAGGAGCTGTGCTGGGAGAAAGAGAATGAATAACATTGGATGGTAAATAAAAAGAGAATGATTATTTTCGGAGACGGGCGAATAGGGTTGTAAATTCGAATGATTTTTTTTCAGATCAACTTAAAGCGCGCATAATTTCGTTAGAAAAAAAATCATCGCATCTGACAATCGCATTAAAGCTGATAATCTGTCGCCAAATGCTATTTTTTCTCTGATTTGGAAATAAGGGTTGACGCTTTAGGGGGGAGTGGGGGGGGGGTCTAAAATTTTGCGACAAACAATGCATTAGGTATAGGAAGAACGTCACGATAGGGAGGGAGGGTAATTTTTTGCTCGATTTAGCGTGACATAATTAATGCATGGGCTCTAATTTCTAAAAGTGTTTGATGGATTGATAGAAGCCAAAAATGACCGATATCACAGTTTATTTTACAAGGCAAACCTCCTTTGGTTTGTTTTTTTTTCCGTCGAACTTGTTTTCTGTGCTGAGCACCAATAGACGAGTGCACGGATGGATTTGAGTTCACTCACTCGACAAAAAGTGACACAACAGCGGGGCCCTGTTTACTAATAATGAACACATATGTGTTCATTTATAGTAAACAGGGCCCCGCTGTTGTGTCACTTTTTGTCGAGTGAGTGAACTCAAATCCATCCGTGCACTCGTCAAAGCTACCGACGTGCCAGGAAGGCAGCTCCCACACCTGGACCCTACCTATCGACCCATCAACTCATGAACCGGGGACCAACGGCTTTACTTCCCATCCGAAGGAAGGCGTGATCAGAGATGTTATGCCTCAGAACATCCCGGCGGCGCCGACTGGGATTGAACCCAGGCCTGCTGGGGTGAGAGGTAATCACGCTTACCACTACACCACCGGCGCCGTTAAGGCAAACCTGTGGATGTAGCCATTTGTGGATCCCAATCAACCCTGTCCTTCGAAATCATACAAATTGTACATGTAATATACAATAATTGGTTTGACTCGGTATGAGGGTAGTAAGTGTTGCATTGTTGAGCTTTTAAAGCTTTTGAATGCAATGTTGACGCTTAGACTTTCAGTACTCGCGCAGCTTCGTTCTAGTTCATTTATTTGGAAGGCTCAATTGGGTTAGCTTTACGGAGCCGATAATTCAGTGCCAACATTTCAAAGGGGCGTAATTGCTTTTGTAAACAATTTCTCGCAAATAAAAACCCATCCCTTCAAATTAATAATGCTAGTTGTTTATGGAAACATTTCTCTACCTGATGGTGTTATTAATCTTCATGAGTAAGCTTTTATTCGCGAGAAATCGATGACTAAAGCCATGGCTAATGCTAGCGCCCCTGTTCGACATGTACAGGGAAAAACAATATTCTTAAAAATTGATAAAAATCTTTAAATTTGAAGTAGTTAGCTTCCCACGTTTAGGAAGAAATTTTTAGAAAATATTAAATTTGAAATGGTTTGCTCCTGATACCACTAAGCTGTTAAAAAGTTCATCTGATTAAGGTTAACCACTAACGGTGCAAATCCTGATTGGTGTACAATAGTTGGTGCTACCTAGTGGTGTAAGATAGAAATTTTGACATGATGATGCTTTCAGAATTATTTCACGGTGAGGTATGGGTGAGAAGTTTGGAATCATATAAAAAATTTCGACATCCCTTCGGAAAGTACTGAATCACATGAGAATAGCAATCATTTCGGCAAGTACTGAATCAGTTGATAATATCTCAGAATCACTTACTGGTAGCGTAAGCGTGACTGCTTTCTAACACCCTAATGGGTCTGGGTTCAATCCCAGCCGAGGTCGGTGGGATTTTTCTGAGGCATAAAAATCTCTGGTCACGTCTTCCTTCGGAAGGGAAGTAAAACCGTTGGTCCCGGCCCAGGTGTGTTGTTGTGAATGGGTGAGATATCCTACGCAGGTGTGGAAGCTGCCTTCCTGCACATTCGGTTGCCGTCAATGGATGGCAATCGATGTCCGTCGGTGATTGGCACTAGATTGCGGAACAGAGACCGACGTTAAATAAAAGAAAAAAAACTTACTGAATCACTTCATAAAAATTAGGAATCACTTCGGAAAGTACTGAATCATTTCAGAGAGCACTTAATATCTTATGAAAAGCTCGAAATCACTTCAGAAAGTACTGAATCACTTCAGAAAAGTTTGGACTCACTTCGGAAGTGCTGAATCACTTCAGAAATGACCGGCAACACTTAATAAATATTCGAAATCACTTTGGAAAGTACTGAATCATTGCTGAAAGTTCACTTTGAAAATAATTGAATCACTTAGGAATGCACTGAATCACCCGAGGAATCACCTCAGAAACGTTCGGAATCACATTGGAAAATACTTAATATCAATATTAATACTCATTTCAGCTAAAATAATGTTTTTTGGGATAATAAAACCAAAAGATGGTATGATGGCATGTTTTACTTGTAACTTATAAGAAGAGGTTACAAAGTATATGTTTGAAACATAAAACCTGTAAATTTTGCTTTCTATGGGTCACAATCAGCGATTTGCTGATCGCTGAGTGAGTGAGTGAGCGAGTGGGTGGGTGTGTGAAAAACCGCTGATTGTGACTCTCATGAAGTGAAATATACAGGTTTAATATGTCAAACATATTCTTTGAAACCTCTTCTTGTATCCTACCAATTCAAAATATGATCATGGCATCTAATTATTTCATAATAATAAAAAAAAACATTGCTTTAGCTGAAATGAGTATTTGCAACCTTGCTCAACATCTTCAGGAATGTTTGGAATCACTTTGGAAAAGTTCATGATCACTACGGAAAGTACTGAATTATATCAGAAAGCACTGAATCACTTAGAAAAGTATTGAATAACTTTAAGCTCGGAATTTCTTCGGATAGTATTGATTAACTTCAGAAAATTTCGGAAAATATTGGAATGTACTGAATCATCCCATAAAGTTTGTAATCATTTCCGCAAGAACGTAATCACTTCTAAAATAATTGAACCAGTTAGGAATGCACTGAGTCAGTTCAGCAACGTTCGGAATCACTTTGGAACTACTGAATCGTTTCAGAATGTTCATAATCAATTCGGAAAGCACTCATTTCAGAAACTACTGAATCACTTCAGAAAGAATTGAATCACTTCAGAAAAAGAAGAAAAATCGTCGGATAAAAATGGCTTAAGAAAATTTCTGAATCCCTTTGGAAAATACTGAATTTTTCTAAAATAATTATTTCCTAAATAATTCCGGAGAGAACTGAAAAACTTCACAAAATTTCGGAAAGTACTGTATCAATTCTTTCAAGTTTTCAATCACTTCTTAAGAGCTGAATCACTTTTTAATAACTTAATCATTTCAGAAAAGCTTGGAATCCCTTCAGAAAATATTTAATTACACTCACGGAATCAGTTTGGAGAGCACAGAATCATTTAAAAAAAAGTTCAAAATCTCTTCTGAAAGTACTGAAACACTTTAGAAAATCTCAGAATCAGTTTGAAAAGTAATGAATTACTGCAGAAAATCTTCAGAAAGTACTGAATCACTTCAGATAGTACAGACATAATTGAGCATGAGAATGATTAACCTCTCGTGGTTGCTACTCCGTTATTACAACATTACCTGATAGAGAAGCAACAAACAATGCGTTGGACTAGCATGCATCTGCAATGTGTAACAACTGATGACCTTATATTTTACGGTAGGCAATAACAGCGCTGGCCGCTTCCAAATGTAGGTCAATTAGACCATCAAAAAGCAAGAGATCCTCCTCTCTTCCAAGAATTTTTCAATAATTTTTCAACAGGATTCGCTTAAGAAAGTATTGATTCTTATCGCTAAGCTACTCAATTGTAACACATCGAAAAAGGTCTCGATTTTGGCAACATAGATGAAGTACAGTCTCTCCACAACTCGATATCCACTAACTCGATATCGAGTTATATAACCATAATAAAAATGAGTGTCATGGCTACTGCGATAGCGAATTTGTATGGGATTGTTAAACTATAACTTGATAATTCTATAACTCGAGTTGTAGGGAGTGCACTGTTGCTACGTTTCCAAAAACAAGATCTGTCTTTATTGACATTAGATTAGGAAAGTTTGGAATCACTTCAGAAAGCACGGAATAACTAAGCATCATTTTGAAAAGTACTGGACCATCTCAGAAAAAATAGATTAGCTGATACTGAACTTTACAAAAGTTTTAAATTACTTTGGAAAATCAGAAACACTGGATCCGTGTATTCTGCTTATAACATATTTAATAACTTCAGAAAAGCTTGAGTTCAGTAAGGAAAATGTTGAATAACTCAAAGATAGGCTCACTTCCGAAAGTGTTAAATTTTATGGACTGATTTAACACTTTCGGCAGTAATGTCACGAGTTCTTGGGAGCTTCTGAAACAAGAACCTGATATTAACGAAAGAACCTGGCACTGAAACAGTGAACGTATTGCCTATTAAGGTTTCCAACGGTAACAACGATTGTAACAGGACAAACATCTCTGGCTATTTAATATAGTATAGTCGAGTATTAGTACAAGACACTGAAGACGTCTGCACATTGTAGACGAAATACGCGTATCTGTCAAGGATAAGCAAATAAGGTACTGGAATTGAATGGAAATTACTAATCCTTCTCTTTCTCATTACACAGGTATTCCACTAAGACGCTCACATTCATCAGGACTCTGGCTATTATTTCAAAAGTTGCGTAGCGACGATTGTGTTATTGAAACGCACACATGCTCGAGGAGTTTGGCATTCCACTTTTGCTAAAAGTAGCAAAGGTTTGATTCACGAGGTTTCCTAGATAAAAG